AAATACGTACCTAATACGTACCGAATGCGTAACAAATACGTTGTAACAAATACACGTATCAAAAGAACAAGTTAACCTTCCCTGTCCGTTCGAATCGTCATCATTGTAATGTGAAGAAAAAGAAAAGATTTGAACTCGTTCTATCCGTATAAGCCGTTAAATTCCACGGTATCATTCCTCGGGTAGCAAACTGGTCCCGTTGGTGTGCCATAACGCGCTACCTTGGGGCCACTTTTCTCAGGGTGCATGAGGATGGCATTGGTGGAACCAATGGATGGATCTTCGTCAAAATAGTTGAAAGGTCGGATGAAGAAGCTGGCTGTGTTAGCCGCGGTGGCTGTATTAGGGATATCCTCCGAATGCGGTATGTGCATCATACCGATAGTTACCCAGGCAACGAGATCTTGATTGACAATACTCTCGTTGTCATTGATGTATTTTCTAAAGTCCACTTGAGGGTCGTTGCAGGAGTTCTGGTTGTAAGGTGATGAACTGTACCTTTCATTGTCTTTATATCTTAAAAGCAAGATAGAAAGGAGGCTTGTAAATGATTATTGCCTGAAGACACTCATGGAGCGATCTAGGATAGTTTTCCTAGTTTGTTTTACAGCGCAATGAATCAAATATTTTCTTCTGATTCCGACTGCGATCCGATCCTTATGACGAGTGAAAACCAGAAAATCGGAATCGGAGACAACCAATCACAATACTCTTCTCCAGGCTCTCCTCGCTTAGAAAAGCAAATCGATGCTTCTGTTTCCGATACCACTTATGACGATCGCTTTTCACTCGTATAAACTGCTCAAGACTCCGATTCCGATTCCGACGCAAGTGAAAACCAAAGCTTAAAAGTATGACCACACTTAATGTATTCTCATACTTCTATGCACGGATTTTGTACGTTAAGCCGACAAATTTCGATGCGAAGCTATATAAGTTTGCGAATACATTGCGTGTGGTCATACTTTTGCGCGTTGCACTGTAAAAGTGGATCATTGGAAACTGAGATAGGAACATGGATAGTGCTGTTTTCATACGTGCTGATCAAGACAAAAGTTGCGATAGGTTAATTGGCAATCAACTACTTTAAAATAAATCGTTCAGCACGGTTCTTATGTACCTGTAATACTCAATTTCTTTCAGTGATGCTGGTTGAGTAACCTATATATAGCCTCGAAAATTGGCTGAAATACAAAGTTGATATTGCACATGCGCAGAGACGGATAACATTGCCAATTAAAAGACGTGAAGGGCCTAAGCTCGCTGTTTTATTGGGTACTTACTTGGTGACAGCCATCTGGTACTGTCCCCAGCTGATCATCGGCTCCAACATCCAGTCTTCAGGGTACAACATCTTCGTCATGCCATTATTCTGTATCCTGTATCCTCGTCGTACACCCATCTTGTTCTTCATCCCCTCGTTGTAAAAGTTCAAGTAAGTAGGCGTGTCGAAGTTGAACTTGTAAACAGCTTCCGCTTCCGTCTTTCTGGTCATCGGTTTCAGCACTTTCTGCACGCGCGTGAAGTTTGTCAGCCAACGGCTTGCGATTTTCTCTGTTCCAATCTCTATCGTCTCGTACGAGTTCTCCGTTCCCAGTACATCCATATCGACCTTGAAGTTAATCAAGTGCTCATGCGTAGTAGAAGTTCCATACTCAGATATTTTATATCCGTAGGGTTTGACGTCATCGGTGTAATACGTGCCCATGACGTAACCAGAGGCTGACAGACGGACTTGCATGACGCCATTTTGGTAGAAAATAAAGTCCCACACGTAATCGTAATTGTAAACAGTTGGAACTGTACGAAGCACAAGGACGTTGTCTGCCATGCCGCCATAGAAGTGATAGCTGCCCTCAAAGTCGCTGTCGTAGTGTCGTCTCAGTGGTATGGCTGAGGGGAGAAAAAAAATTCAGAAAACCACAACACGGGCTGCCTGTGTTAAAGAAGACCGAATTTAATATGCGTGAGGTCGAATAATGACTCTCAAATGGCTTATATATTCAAGCATTCTGATTGGTTGTTTGTATGTTACTGATTTCTAATTTTAGAATGGACTGCAGTTTCTGTTTGTACAGATGACTTGGTTTTCAAGTGCTTTATCAACAGGTTAGATCTTCAACAATTTCAAGAATGCGTGAATTGGATCATAATCTGCTTCAAGCACGCAATCCCTAAAACTCCTGCGTTCTTTGACTACAGACTCGTTAACTCAGAGTTAATTAGCCTCATTTCAGTTCAGAATATTCACAAATATCAATAGAGCGGATGCAATTAAACCGTGAAATAAAATCAAACAAAATACTAACTAACAGAGTGACCAACACTAATTACTAAATAGTACAAAATAGTGCTAGTTAAACAATAGAAAACAATGGAATTTACATGAAATTGTGCTATTTAGTATCACCAAAGTTTCACGGATTTACGTTGGTCACTCTAGTATCTATTTAGTGACTAACAGTTGCTATCACTCCACCAGAACATTCATCATACAAAGACAACTACACAAGAGATCATTTGTGTCTTTTGTTTAATAAATGTTCTGGTTGAGTGATAGCAACTATTAGTCACTAAATAGATACTATTAGTTAGTGTTTAGTTTGATTCTATTTCACGATTTAATCGCATCCGCTCTAGTAAAGAATGCAACAATACTAACACTTTGAACTTCACTTCATATTAACTAATTACGGATCAGGTTTACCAGCCGTCCCCCCCCTCCCCCCTTAGTAATGCGAATGCCACTAACCTGTGTTTTGTTCAAAGACGCAGACGCTGTTTTTCATCGTCAACGCACTAGCTGTTCCTATCATATGAGTAAGGTTGAAGAAAGTAGCAGTCTTTGGACAATCAATACCAGGGACAAGTTCGAAGCTGCTCATCCCAAGCCGCCAATTCCCATCTAAATAGTACATGTAGCTCTGTGAGGGGAAGTAGCCAGTATAGGTGGCGATAGCTTCTTGTATACTCAGTTCATAGACGATTCTTTCTCCTTTGAACTTGATATCATAGATTTCCATTCCGTTGACAGAATCCACTCGAAACTCGAATCCCCAGCCCATGTACTCCACACGACGGTTGTCCACGGCGTACCTCTTACCATCCGGCTCGTAGAGCTCGGGTCCTCGCGAGGGCTTTGCAGGTTGCGGGTCACCCCGTTGAACGTAACTCGAGAATAACTTATCAGAATTCGGAGGAGTTGGTATTTTGCTTATTTTTAAAGTCTTGGCTTTGTATGCATTGAGTAGGTCGTCTGCAGACTGGAATGACTGGTTATTGTAAACAATCTGCTCGACTTTCCATTTCGAGACATCAGATCCTTTGTGGTTAATGTATACTTCAAAATTCAACGGGTTTTCGTATTTTCCAGCCATATTCCTCAACATCCAAAACCATGTTTTCCTAGTGTCACTAGTAAAACCCATGGGAGATGCATACATATAGGTAAGACATTTTTCTGAGCAGTTGGCTTTGTAGGTATACCCACCATAGCTTTCTAATATTAGATCGTTAACCTTGTCAGTGACTTGGCGGATCAACTTGGTAATCTCTCTCGCTTCGATGGTTTCGTCAAACGGACGCGAATCAAAAGGAATAGGATAACGTTGACCTGGAACGCTATTCTTTCGATGACCAGTTGGGTTATTTGCGGGATAAACTATGTATTCTTCGACTACAGGGTTAGGCTTCCTTGCCCCAGCGTACACGGAAACTATTGCTTCTCGTTGTGGCTTGGTGGGTGTCTTGTTGTCAAGGTACTTGAGGGCGTCGGTTTTTGATGGTGGTCGTAGCTTGATGAAATAAATGTAGTTGTCCCCGACTGAAGCCTTCTCGTAGCGTGTCATATTTAGATCCTTGTCTGCATACAGGTAGTCACGAACAGCCAAAATCTCGTCTGCACTCAAGTCTTCGAAGATTCGCGATGACTTGCGAGATATTTGTACTCCGGGTGCCTCAGAGGCGCAAGGCTTAGCTGCAAAACTATCTGCATTGGGTTCTCCTTGGYCACGCTTACTAGCTTCAYTCAACTTTACAGCAACTACAATCAAAGCTATGAGAAAAGCAATGCAAAGAATCAAGAGCACGACAGTAGCGATCTTCCAAAAGAGCGGAGTCTTTGACTTGGATCCATCTTCAGTAGGATGCGAGTAATCCTTAGAGCGAGCCATAGTATCAACTAGTGCATCCAAACGAACGTAGCCTAACCTACTCCGCAGAAGAATGTGTTTTCACTTTATATCACTGCACCTTTTATTTGTCACAAAAAACCGGTTACAAACAGGTTTTATCGATGAAAAATCATATAACCGTAGTCATTGGTCATTGCTGTTTATTTTAGTATTGTTTGATGTCTGACCTTTGTATATGGGCGAGTCAAGGAACTGAACTGACTAAGAGTACCGAAGCGAGACGTCACGAAATATCATTTTCAATGTATCATAACTTCGATCCTCGATTTCGATAGAAAACCAAGAAAGTCGCTAACACGCCAAATTTCAGGAGAATTGGTTGAAAGCAACAGAGATACGGCAGTTTGAATATAAAATTTCCCCATACAAGTCTCTGTACAGAGATTTGTATGGGGAAAATATATATTCAAACGGCCATATCTCCGTTGCTTTTCAACTGATATTCTTAAAATTTGGCTTGTTAACGTCTTTCTTGATGCTCTATCGAAATTGAGGATCGAAAATTGTCAAAAGCAAAATTTTTTTTTTCGTGCCGTCACACTTCGGTACTATAATCTAGTGTTGATGCTCTATTAATTATGCCAGAGATTTCGGCCCCGACACCGATATCAGAAATTATATTTTCAAACGGCCGTAGTTGCTTTTTTAAAAAATTTGGCTTGTTAACGTCTTTATTGATGTTCTATCGAAATTGAGGATCGAAAATTGTCAAAAGCAAAATTTTGATTTTCGTGCCGTCACACTTTGGTACTCTAATGTAGTGTTGATACTCATGCTTTAGTAATTAGTAATCCAGGGATTTCGGCCCCCACACCGATATCCGAAGATTTATAGGCTGATTGGAAATCTTTCCCGAAGCCTAATGGAGAGGTGGTTTAGTTGAACACAAAGAACATTGAATCAGTCTCAACACTAAGGCCCATGTTCTTGACGAGAATAAGAACTCAGAAACACAAGTCATTCTAGCTAAGCTATTCTTGGATATTGCCTATTGCCTATCGCCTATCGCCTTTGGCGATGACAACTTTATTTGAAATAGGTATATTTGTTTGTGTTATGAGATGTTCGCTTATGATGGCATTTGTTGTGTTGGCAATGGAAATTTTCCTTTGTGGCCGAACGACAAACGCTGACTTCACAGGCGGTATTTCAGCTAACAGATTTATGAACTCCATCGAGTAAAGTTTTATTCGAACAGTTCTATTTACTAAGTGACTTCTTAAGGAGGCTGTGGGTAGTTTTGGTCTGGCACACCTAGCCGCATTGAAACGGCTACAACTTCGTAGGAATAAAATAAAAGTCAGCAAGCGTAGCAAAATAAGTGTAAGCGGTGCAGCGCCAGCCGTAACAGCACACGACATACCCTGCGAGCAGAGGTTTTTTTTCTGACCCTCCGTGGAGCTGGCTGTCGGGGAGGGTCAGAAAAAAAAGCTCTGCTCGCAGGGTACACGCGACAAGGAATAACACGGAAGCCATGCGTGAATTCAAGAAGCAACCGTGAGCAAAAATAGTTGTGAGCGTACTTATTTTTATTTGACTGCCTTAAAACCCTTCAATGCATATGAAATTAAAGGAGAATATTTGCAAAAGTAACAAGGTGACTTCATTTAGAAAAAAATCGTTCGACAATTTTTTGAATGACGCTTTCATTGATATTTTCTATCGCTTTTGACAACAAATGGGGTCATTTAGCTTCATATCAAAAATCCATAACGTTAGAAAGAAAGTCACGATTTGATTCATATTCAATGAGGACAGTTTCTATATCCGTACCTAAATTCTAGCTACTAAATATATTGAATCCACTAAATTAAAGTCCCAATTTTGAGGGTACAAAGTTGACACGCTGGAAATAATAGTAAAAGTCCATGAAAATATTCATCGCGTAATATTTGGAAAACGCTCTCATACATTTTTTTCATATTGCAATATGTTGGGTGCCTTGATGAATACTATCGACTGGTGCAAGTCGCTTTGAAAGTTTAGGTCTAGTTTTTGAGAAAATAAGCGGTAAACGATTTCTATGATAACACCAATCCTTTCCTGACATTGTGTGAAAAGCGCTTGCAGATCGAGTTCTTCAAGACGAAGTTGTAGCCGTTTCAATGCGGCTATGTGTGCCAGACCAAAACTACCCACAACCTCCTTAAAGAAAATAATCAATGTGGATGTGGATCGTAGAAAAATTAGCAAAAGACGAAAAAAAAGAACAATTCCAATGAAGTTTTGAAGGACGTTCGGCCAATTTTGTCATTCAAATAAGCCGTTCTGAATAATAAGTAGATTGATCGCCGCACATTTATATACTCTGGGTGCCAGAGGCTGTGTGGGGCTTGGGACCCAGGGTAAAATTTATACAAACAGCCGAAGCAATGTTCTTGTATTTTGAAATGTACCAAGGTTTAACGGGAATTCACTCCAATAAATAATCCGTAATTTACAGACTTGTATGAAGACAAATTCAATAGCATTTCTAAACGAATTTCTATAAGATATTCGCTTAGTTAAAACTTCAGGCAACAAATGTAGAAGCCGTGACCCTTGAAGGTCAAGATAAGTGGTATTAATGTAAATGAACGTAATGCACTAGTCAATTGAAACCCCCACCCCCCGACCCCCGCGAAATACCGGGAAATTTAACATTTGAGTGGTGTTAAAATCAGACATTTTCCCCGGTAGTCGGAGGCACATTCACTGTTAAAACCCCCGCTATTGTGGCCCCGTTATTTTGGTTTAGTAGTCAACCAGAAACACATTTCACGCCAACTCCAAATTCTTGTGCTACACAGAGCCAATTGTTGTGGGTTCCATGCACTAAATATTCAATTATGCTCAATATTTTCATGGGCTCTGAACCTCAAATCGTGCGAAAACGTTTACGTTAACGTCTAGTCAGCTGAGAGTTTAATGGTATTAAATTGAAAATGATCAAAGCAGTAGTTTTAATAGATTAATCATGATCTGATTCTACATTCGAACTGACCGAAACGACTGAACAAAACCCGCGTATAAGAACCTGGTTTTAAGAACCTGCTAGGCTAAAATTCTCACTTTAAGACCCCTCCACATAAGAACCTATTAAGGCTACAATTTTAAGAAAGGTTCTTATCAGTGGAGTTCAGTGTAAAAGTGTATAGGTAGATGAAGAGTCTACGGTCACTTGACACTCATAATAACATTAACATCAGGCCACCGGAAACGGTGACATGAGGTCATCTGATATTCTCGAACAATCGTTGACTCACGAGGAACACACGTTCATATTGTTACCGTTCTTTTATATCATTTATAAGCATTTAGGACCTGATTACTTCTCTGTTGT